TGGGAGACTCCCCACCCTTTCGCTTTACTTATCCCTGTGTCTCCTCCTGCTTTGTTTCATGCCTTCTGTCTTGCTGTCCTCTACTCCTGTAACAGTATCCCTGTCCTCATCCACTACTTACCCTTCCTTCCCTCTTTCTAATCTCTCCAAGAAATCATTTCTCCTCATCCATAACCCCCAAACCTGCCCGCCCCTTATCTGCTGCCCTGTACCTTGTCTTGTGTGTGTCTTGTTCAAATGCTCTTTGGGCAGCAAACATAATTTTTTTTGTTTCTAAAGGTCCTGACACACACATGGAATTCATAATTTTTAAGAATTGCCCAGAGCTCTGATAAACAGAGAGCTGGGGGGCTCCTTGTAGGAATAAGTTGGGAAGACACAGCATTCGGGGCCAAATGCCACCTATCAGGTTTTCCCAAGGTAGCTATACAGGGAAATCTGTAATGGTGTTCAGTACACACTGCCAGCTGTTATGGGCTCAGGATCAACCCAGATGTCCCTAGGTTTTTTTTTTTTTTTTTGGTGCCTCAGAGGTTGTTGGCCTAAATGAGAACAAGATAATGTAGCATTCAGTGGGGGAAAGGAGAGCAGAGTTCACATCCAGCTCTTCACACACATCATCCTGCCATATAGTGTCCAGCCCAGTTCTTTTTGGTGGGTCAGTCTAGTCTGGACAGATTTGGTACTTCAGAAAAGAAACATGTTCAGTGCATTTACAGTTTGGCCAGGAGCTGAAGAGAGCTGGATGCCCTCATTGTAATGGGGGTAAAACAGTGAAGGGTGAGGAAGGTTTTTCCTATATGTGATGGGAGAAACAGGAAACTAGAATATACTACATTCAAAACATCTGCCACATGATGCAACAAACCTCCACCAATGAGCCCTGGAAAAGGAACCAAGGCACGAGGTTTCCCTGCCTGGGAAAAGAAATCAGGCCACAGCTGTGAAAGCACCAAAAACTCATCACTAGACCATCAGGAAGAAGCCATGTGCTTCGCTTGGGTGGCTGCTCATACAGGTGGGCCCTTGTGAGGTGAAACACAGAAAGAGGAAAGCCTGCAATATTGCCAATGTCAAGAGATCAAAAATCATGAGATTGGCCCCCAAAATCATGAGATTTAAAAAAAAAGATTATATTGTGTTTTTTAGGTCAGTCTCCTGATTTTTGAACCCCTCCTGCCCACCCGCAGCATGTGCATGTGACAATTAGTGTTGTCCACTCTCCCACATGTGCTGGATAAGGAGATTTTGCCCCCTGCTGCAGGAGCTCTCACCCCCACATCTGCCCATCTCCTGCCCAGCAATTAATCCTGTCCCCCAGTCTCCCATCAGTACTGTCCCCACTCAACTCCTCTCAGTTTAGCCCCTCCCTCTGTTCAGTACCCAAACCCCATCATCCCCACCCCATCAGTTCAGCTCCCTTGCCCCATTGCTTCCCACTGTCCTCAGTTCACCCTCCCAGCACTCACCCCATCTGCTCAGAACCCACCATCAAAAAGCCCCCCACCCCATCAGCCCCCCCCCATCCTCACTTCAGCCTCCCTGCAGCCCGCAGGCCATAGTTCAGCTCTCCCAGCCTCTGCTCCTTTTAGGGTTCTTCACTATCACCAGGCCTGGGGGGACTGCAGTGGGGTCCCCTCTCCCACTTTCCAAGCTGGCAGGAGAGCAGCTGCCTGGGGCTGATAGTGGGAGCTCGGACACACAGGGCTGATAGCTGGAGTCCCAGCTGCCCACAGTCGACAGTGAGAGCCTCTCCTCTTCATTCTGGCAGCAAACTTTTCACAGTGAAACCTGGAGGGTACTGCCACACCTGCTGCACCCCTAGTTCCCATGCCAGTCTAAAACCAGACAAGTGGCGCCTCTAGCCTTTCGCCATACTCCTTCTGGAAGACACACAATTTCTAAGTAAAATTGAGCCTCGCTCATGATCTCAGGATAGAATTTCCAGATGTGAGGGGTTTGTTTTTTTTCAGACACGGCAGGAAAAAAAAAACCTGACATTTGAGAGCTTTATCACAAGTTCATGAGCGAGGCTTAATTTTACTTAGAAGTCATGTCTCTCGCGGTAAATTCGTGAGAGTTGGCACTTCTGAGCCTGCAGTCCAGCTACCACAGGGGACAGGGTGCCAGAAGGAGTATGGGGAAAGGCTAGGGAGGCCACTTGTCTGGTTTTAGACTGGCATGGGAACTAGGGGTGCAGCAGGTGCGGCAGTACCCCCAGGTTTCACTGTGAAAAGTTTCCTGATACTGTCATTACGAAGCTAGCATTATTTCTAGGCTGACCATACATCCCATTTTTCCCGGGACAGTCCCTTTTTTAAGCCCTGTCTTGGCTGTCCTGATTTTTTTTTGGCAAAAGTGGGCATTTGTCCCATTTGCTCTTGCCAGCTTGATCAGTTCTTGATCAGCTGGCAAGAGCAAATGGGACAAATGCCCACTTCTGGCAAAAAACTGAGGTGCAGAGGAACGGGGGAGAGCGGCGATGCCAGCCCCATGCAGGAGGGAAGGCAGGGCGCGGGCAGGAGGCAGACAAGGCTCAGGTGAGCAGCAACACCAGCCCCAAGCAGGGAGGGGGACTCGGATGAGCGGCTTGGGCCAGCGTAGCTCCACGCGGTTTTCCCTTTGGGAAATATGGTCACCCTAATTATTTTGTGTTTCTTGAGAATCCCGGAGCTGTGCTGCACCCATGTGGTGTGAGTGGGAATTGCACTTTTCCACATTGCTTTTGAACACACATGGTTACAGTTTTGGAACTTAGCTGGCTTAGTGACATCCTCCAGCACCCCCACTATAAAAAGTGTTCTAGCGCCACTGTACTGGACAGTCCTGTTTTTGGCTGGTTTGTCCCCCATCCAATACCGGGACAAAACCAGATGTTTCTTTGTCTGGTATCAGATAGGACAAACAGTGGGTCAGGATCCCAAAGTGAGTCGTGCCCCTGTTTTAATGGAGTCGCCAGGGCTGGCTTCAGATTTGCTGGGACCCAGAATTGAAGCTGAAGCCCGAGCCCCACCACCCGGGGCCGAAGCTGAAGCCTGGGGCCTTCAGCCCTGGGTGACAGGGCTCAGATTATAGTCCCCCTGCCAGGGGGGCGGGGGGGGGGGGCTCAGCCCCCACAGCTGGGACGGCAGGGCTTGGGTGGGCTCAGGCTTTGGCTCTCCCTCCTGGGGTTGTGTAGTAATTTTTTTTGTCAGAAGGGAGTGGTGGTGCAATGAAATGTGAGAACCCCTGAGATAGGAGATGCCATTTTGAACAGTGCGCTGTTCTGCTCCCCACCCACATGACCTCAGACACACGCTGCATGCAAGGTCTGACCAGTGGGGGCAAGGCAGTGCACTCTTGAAAATGATGTCCCCTGTGTGGCATGATCTCGCACACACCATACATCTGGGGTTCCGCTAGCAGACGCAGGCCCTGCCATTCCCAGAAGTACCGGAATGTGCAAGATTCCAGGAACATGTGAGTGGTCACCCTACAAAATAGCCACTGTACTTTCTCTGAGGGTCAAGCTCAGGACTATTAGAGGGTGAGACTGCTCTGCTACCAACTGCACTAATGTGACTGGCTAAGGTAATGGTAGCCACTGCCACCGTGAGGGTCACTGGCACCTGATAGCATAGCACCATTTAGTGCAGGGCAAAACAAAAGACGAGCTTGTGACATAACCTCCTCGACTCCTAGAGGCAGACCCAGCCCACCTGGCTACCCCTGGAGCTGCCCATTTATCCCTAGTCTTGCTGTACAGAGCTGCCCCTACGCTTCCTCCAGAGGGGTTAGCAGAGGGAAAATCTTCGTTGACCAGGAATTGAGCTCAGGCTCCAGCAAAGAGAGCCCCAAACCCTAACCACTAGAGCACCACGGACAAGCTGCTCCCTCCCTGCACAAAGCTGACACACCAGCAGGAGGCAGGGATGTGTGCGCCAGGCCAAATGCCCCGGGAGACGATGGGAGTCTGAAAAGGGAGGATGGGGACCAAAGAAGAAAAGCAACAAGGCAGACTTGACATCCTTGCCCAGCAAAGGAGCAGGCCCAGGCTGTGCGGGTGTCTCCCTGCAGCCCCTAGGCTCTGGCACACAGCGCCGGCTGATCACGCCCGGGGGAGGCTGGGCGCAGGGCTCGTGTAATGGCGGCGGCTGGAAGATACGTGATGTGACTGCAGCCGGGACAGGGTAGGGGCCGCGCGATCCGCCCGGGGCGGGGGCCTGGTCTCGTGGGTCCGGCGGGACCCCAGAGGCGCCGGCTGGGCAGCGCTGCCCGAGGCCAGGGGCGGCGCCAGGCTCCCGAGCGGCTGGAGGCTCCTCGGCTGCGGCGGCCTCTGCGCGGCCGGGCCGGGCTCTGTCTCCGGGGCGGCGCCGAGGTGAGAGCGGGGCTGGCCGCCGCGCTGCGGGGAGCCAAGGGTGGGACCCGCTGGGCCAACTGCGCTGTGGGGATCGGCCGGGTCTGTAACAGCCCCCGCTTCTGTGGGGCACGCACAGCCCGTGACCACCCCTCCCCCCCCATCCCAGTATTTACCGCATTCACCGCCTTTGGCCCGGTTACCCCCGCACTTACCCCAGTCCCCTCCCCCCCAATTAAGAGCCACGCTTTTTAGTAGTGGGGTTCTGCTCAGACCTGTTCGGGCATCAGAGAAGCACCAGCAGGGCTGACATGGGCCGCCCCACGCCGCAGGGCCCAGGGGAGAGTATTTTTAAAAGTCTAGTGGATGTTTGCAAAATCTGCCGGGTCCCGCCGGTCTGCTCTCAGGGGTGCTCGAACAACATAGTGGAGATGCTGAGAGCCATTGAACCAAACTGTAAACCCTGTGTATAATGAAAACCTCTTCAAGTCAGGGGGTGCTGCAGCACCTATGCTGCTCTCCTCTAGGGCAGGGGCCAAGGGAAATGACTTGTCAGTATAATTTATTAAAGGCCTTCCCCGGTGCAGGTGTTTCCATCCCCTCCCTCAAATTAGCAAGGTTCTGGGCAGTTCTGAATCTTGTTGTTTATGATCCTGTTCAGAAATTACTACAAGGGTTTTCAATTAAATTGTTTTTAAAATATTTGAGCTGGGTTTGAAACAAAATGCAACCCTGTGCCTCAGTGATGAAGAATTACCCATTATAGGTGTGATTATACCCATCCTTATATCTGTAGTTTTTACATGGCACTAGTACAATGTCGGGTACTAAGTACCTTTAGATGTCATTGAAGTCCATGGGAGCTGAGGATGTCACTCAGCGCCTTGCCGGATCAGGCCCATTTAAATTAATGGGACTATTCATGGTCCAAAGCTGCAAGGTCCTGAACCACAGTCAACTCTGAGAGAGGCCAGGGAGTGGCTTACACAAAAAATTTAGCTCAACCTAGCTACATCACTGAGGGGTGTGAAAAAACTCACACCCATGAGCACTGCACTTAAGCTAGCCTGCTGTAGATGCGGCTATGTTGATAGAATAATTCTTCCATTAACCTAGGTACTGCTGCTCCAAGAGGTGGATTACCTACACTGACAGAAAAACCCTTTTCCTCAATGTAGGAAGCCTCTACATTATGGTGCTGCAGCTGTGCTGCTGTAGCACCTGTGGTGTAGACATGGCCTAAAATGGAGTTGCGTGCTGAGGATTCTGGGCCCTGTGAGAACTATAAGCAAAATTAACTGACTTGTTTTGATCATACTTAGTTATATCTCAGGGGTTCGGGGTGTGACATGCACTTTCAGTATGCAAATGAGACAAGGGTTTGAAACAGCCCAGGGCGGGCCCATTTGAGAGTACAGTATCCACACCGAATAAGATGATGAATAGCATCCCACTAGAGATCAAAAAAACAATGGCCCTCAAATTAAACTCTTACGGTAAGGGGAATAGTGTTGGGAATCACCAAATGAAGGCACATCAGTGTTGGGATTGACAACAACCTATGAAACAACCAGTTATCCAAGTATGAGTCACATAATTGTGACGCTCCAGAGGCAGTACTTGGCATGAGAAAAGGAGAACATAATGCCAGAAAAACGCTGGTTTTGAAACATGAACTATAATTCATTTTCTTTAAAAATCAGTATTAAAAAATGTCATTGATTTTTTTATTTTACCTTTAGGTAACGATTCATCATTAATCAAGATGTCCTCAGCACCTGAGCCCCCAAACATTAAAAAAGAAGCACCCAAAGAGAAAGACAGTCGAATTCCAGGACTCAGGGGTGTCCGTACAACCACCCTGTTCCGAGCTGTGAATCCAGAACTTTTCATTAAACCCGTAAGAGGCTCCTTCAGAGACAATTTGTTTAAAGATGTATTTTTGAGATATATTTAAAAAAAAAACACATTTAAGCCACTGGTGTTATAAGTACCACCTAAGAATATTATAACTGAAAAATAGTTTTCACATTTTCCCAGTTTGATTACTTTGCATATTTGACATTACTTTGTGTATAGTCAGTTTCAGTTTCCCCCATATAGTGTTAGACTGTTCTGGCATCTAATATTCCTGGGGGAATTCTATGCCAAAAAATCCAAAATTCTGCACCAAAAAAAATCCAAAATTCTTCATATTTTATTTGTCAAAATAATGCAATATAATCACACAAGTTTCAAACTACCATACAGGAAACAAATCACAAAAACTGTTCTGCATTTCCTAAACACATGAAAGTTCACTTACAAATACTTATTAGCCAAGACCCTGCATTCCAGTTATAATCCTGGATTTTCATTTAAATTACATTACTTTTAGTTTGGTGTTTGGTGTTCTGTAAAGTAGACTGTCACTTTAAATTGCTCAGACTTTCACACATGACAGTTGTACAGTTTTGCTAATCATTGTCCTGCATTTTTTTTAAATGGGTAAGTAAAATAGATCCTGAGCTGTAATCTAACCCCAATGTGCCTCTCCGGCACAGGGGAAAAAGCGAGAAAGACCTTCCTAGCTGAGGATTCCATTACTGTCATTTACAATAAGGCTACTTTACACCACTCTGGCAAGGTAAAGGAGCCTTAATTGACTAAGGGCTTGTCTACACTGGCACTTTACAGCGCTGCAACTTCTCACTCAGGGGTGTGAAAAAACACACACACACACACCCCGAGCGCTGCAAGTGTCAGTGCTGTAAAGAGGCAGTGTTGGCAGTGCACCAGCACTGGGAGCTATTCTCCTCGTGGAGGTGGTTTTTTCCAGTGCTGGTGCTGCGACCATGCAGCCAGGTTAAAGTGCTGCCGTGAAGATATGACCTAACAATGGGAACAATTAACTAACAATGGGAACATTAGCAGCCTGCCAGTTTAGTTGTTACATTTCCGCTCTGCCTCAGGGACAGAGCCTGCTTCACACAGCCCTATGCCTCCAAGCCCAGGATGCAGGAACAGCGAAGAGAGAGACAGAGTGAGTCTCTCTCATTCATTTGCAAGCAGGCAGGTACGGAGCCCTCCCCCCCTTAACATCTCCGTGGAAGCACACAAGCCCAGCCTCCCTCCTCCCCCTTGTGGTGATCTGCTCTCTGCTGCTGGCTGCTCCCAGCAGATGCCCAGGCTGCCATAGAAGGGATATGTGTTCCCCACAGACTTCTTTGCTCCCTCATTTTTCTGCAGAAGGTATGAGGCGCAGAATTCCTCCAGGAGTAATCTAATGAGAGGGACTCCATGAGTCTGCAAAGTTTTGTGATTTGATGCGTTAGTTACAGGGAGCCTCTTTTCATGTTTAAAAGGGTAAAAAAGAGGATTTAAATATTCTGAAGTTTTTAAGATGAAAGGACAAATGTTTGTTTAAAAAAAGTAAGGATTTTTTTCTTTTAAGTGCCACAAACTTGAGGGAGCTTTTAGATTTTAAGATCTGCAGTGCTGGCCTACTTCGCCACTCTTTCTACAGAATGTTGAAACCAGTTACCACTTTTTATGGATGATTTTTAACTTAATAATTGTTTAAAACAACATTTGTTTTCATCCTGTTACATAGCCGGGGATAGGTTAAAGCCCTCCAGCACATTTTGGTGATCTGATACCCTGATTCCAAGGTACTGGCCATGGCAGCAGCTAGAACACTAGGTAGTTTTGGAGACTCTGCAGAAAGAGACAATTATTTCAATAGTGTCTGTTACTTTCTAACACCAGCTCTAGATATACTCTCTGACTGGCTCTTAAAATGTGTGAAGTAAATTGAAAAACAAAATTTTCAAGGGAGGGATAGCTCAGTGGTTTGAGCATTGGCCTGCTAAACCCAGGGTTGTGAGTTCAATCCTTGAGGGGGTCATTTAGGGATCTGGGGCAAAATCACTACTTGGTCTTGCTAGTGAAGGCAGGGGGCTGGACTCGACGATCTTTCAAGGTCCCTTCTAGTTCTAGGAGATAGGATATCTCCATTAATTTTTTTTTTCAGCCTATCGTGGCTCCCACTGGCCGCGGTTCGCTGCTCCAGGCCAATGGGGGCTGTGGGAAGCGGTGGCCAGCACATCCCTCGGCCCACACCGCTTCCCGCAGCCCCCATTGGCCTGAAGCGGCAAACCGCAACCAGTGGGAGCCGTGATTGGCCGAACCTGCAGACGTGGCAGGTAAACAAACCGGCCTGGCCCGCCAGGGGCTTTCCCTGAACAAGCAGCGGACCGGTTTTGAGAACCACTGGCCTAGATGGTAGTCACCAACATTGTGTCAATTTGTGTCATAGCTGTTTCATAGGTCTCAAAAGTGGCAGTGGTGTTAGTGCCATAAAGAGATGTCAGAGAGGGCACCTGGTCACTTGGCATGCCATGAGCAAAGAGCCTGATGTACATGATGGATCAAAAAAACAAAATAGAGGACTAAAAGTGCATATTAATTTATTTTGACAGAACAAACCTGTTATGGCTTTTGGACTCATAACAATTACCCTGTGTGTGGCCTACATTGGTTATTTACATGCAACACAGGAAAATAAAAAGGACCTCTATGAAGCTGTTGACAGTGAAGGAGCCAGGTATATGAGGAGGAAGACTTCCAAGTGGGATTAAAGAAGCTGCTTAATAACAGAGAAGGAAAGAGGAGTAATTGGCAATGTAGGCATCGGAATTGTTAATGTTAAATTAGGTGTCTGCTAACCTTTCTATGCAATTCCTGGAATGATGTTTGTAAAATTTAATCCAATTTCTATTCCATTTTACAATGCCATGCCTGTACCTATAAACTTTACAGAAGACATACAAAGTAATAAAGTGTTAAGAACAGTTGTCTGAGTTGATGATTACAGTGTGTAGATAAAAGAAATAATTAAGTGTGAGCTGGAGACTCTAGTGATAAGTGACTTTAGAAATTTCTGTGATAGTTTAACTCATCTTTTTATGGTCTGCTTTGGCAAGAAGGAAAGCAGTTTTAAAATTTGAGGCACATTGTCTGTGGGAAGTGGTAGTTTGAGCTGCAAAATCTGCATTTTTAATATTGCAACTAAAGATATTTTTTTAAAAGACAAAACATCTAACAATTTAAAAAAAAAATCCAGAACTCTGTAAATACTGACCTAAAAGGACCATTCAAAATGCTAATTTACTCTTTTATATAAATCCTTTGCTAAGACATCCTTTTCTGTCCATTTGAGTGACTGATTTTATTTCTAAATTAGTTTAAAAACTACATGTACCTTCACTGGAAAATATATGCCATCAATTTCTTATTAGTCACTGGAAACACAGGAAATTCTAAAGTGGTGGGGGTATTTTCTTTATATAAAATATAGTTCATCTATTTTTATATTAATAAAATATACAAGTTCTACAGTTTCTGAAATAATTACACCCACACAAAACTATGTTACAAGAACATTAAGGTAGAAAAGTCAAGCATTCATAAGTTAGGAAATGCCAGAGGTTGCCTATTCAATTTAGCCTCCTTGTATATCTGCATTATAATCCAATCTTTAATTACATGATCACATACTGTTTTTTCTACAGACCCCCTACCTCTTTCCATTTCCTAACTTTTGAGTGCTTGACTTTGCAACCTTAATAATTTTCTTTTAACATAGTTTTTTCTGTCTCATTTCCTATGTTTTTAATTAAGCCAACTGATAAAACTCTATAGAAATTCTATCATGTGGTGTCATATTGACACCCGTATGGGTCATTAGCAGGGTTGGAAACTTTATAGCCATTGCACATGACTCTGCCATGTGAGTTAACAGTAGATTGCCATCCTCTGAATAGACTCGCACTAGAGGGGAATGAGGTACATACTTTTCTAGTGGGTTTCACTGATCTTTGTTGACAGAAAAGGAATTGTGAGACACAAGAATTTTGTGTTTCATTCCAAGCTCTAGTGATCACACAATCTTCAGCTCATTCCTCTTTAAGAATGACCCATTATGCCCCATCCACTCCAACCTGTCCTAGTCCTGTCTCTTCTCCTCCCATGGCTCCTTGTCCCAGTCCCATTCTCACCTAGTCAGTCCCAGTCTCCACTCCTAAAACATTTTGTCTTGGTCTTGCCCCTCCAGAATCCCTGTCCCAACCCCTCCCACTCCCAATTCTCCCCCTGCACTCTGGCTCCTTGTTAGATCAGTCTCCTCTCCCATCTCAGCTCCTTTCCCCTGTCCATTGCCCTACTAGTTATCAGTTCCAATCTCCTTGCCTAGCCAGTCCCAGTCTCCTCTGGCTCCTCATCTGATCTCAGTCTCCCCCTCCTAGCTCCCAGTCTTCACCTATTTCCCTTCCTGGCTCCCAAGCTCCTTGCATTCCAGTCACAGTCCCCCTTCCCAGTCTTCTTGCCCCATCAGTCCCAGTCTTCTTGCCCAGCCAGTCATCTCCCCCATTCCAGTGCCTAGTTGTCCTCTCTATCTTCTGCCAGCCCCCAGTTCAAGTATGCCCTCTACCTCTCCATGCAGGCTCCTTATCCCAATCTACTCACCTTACCTGTCTCCCTGCTCTGGATATGGTCCCCTCTGCATTTGAATCAGCAACTTGCTCTTCCACCCTGCCTGGACTCAGCAAAAGGGTCAACGAGAGCGTATGAATGACAAGCTCCCTGCTGTCAGTCCAGCTACCCTGACTTGGACTTGTCACAGCCCAGAGCTGTTACAGCAGGAAAAACCCTGCTCAGCCCTCGGTTGAAGCATGCACTGTGCAGAGAGAATCTTTGGGATATTTAGTTACCAAAATCTAAGACGTCTCTACTGAGCATGTGCAAACTGATTTTTCAAAGACTCATATAACTTGGCCAAACGTGGGTGGATTTTCAGTGACAGCAAAAAGCATATTCCTGACAGAAGACCACCCTCTTCCAATTTTTAAGTCCCTGCTCCAAGGCCGGGGCGCACTACTAAAAGGTGGCTAGAATTTTTTAACATGGGCAAAACAAAATATTTTTTCCTAGCCTTTTGTTTTATAGGAGAGGATAAGAAGGGCCTTGAGACTAACTCTTTCATTTAACAACTATTGTGTGGAATTTTAACCAGATGATTCTTTAATTAATTAAAAGATATTAAGCCTACATTGCTTCAATGGGCTTTAATCCTAGTGAGCAAGAACTCTGAAGGGGTCTGTGATATATGGGAATAATGCAAGAGTGGGTCCTTACTGTTGAATTATGTTTTGTGGTGTGAAGGTGACCCTAGAAGTGAGCAGTAGTAACAGTGGAAGAAGGGGAGGGGAAGGGTTTAGAACTGAGTCAGGGAGAGGGGCTAGTAGAATGCACCCATGAGACTATGTAGTGGAAGGTCTGGCTGCAAGGGCAGCTGTGTTTGTTGTTGGAGTCGGGACTAATTAGTCAAACTGATGCAAACCTATGTGGATTGAAGGAGGAATGTTTAGCCTAGTTTTTCAACTCACGGTCATACTTACCTCCTTGTAGCAATTACTTTTTAAACAACTCTTAATAATACATAGATGATATACATAAAGTGCAGAAAACAGCATGAGTGCAAAGATGCATACAGTACATTAATTGACAGTACAGAAACATGGCTGACAATTGTTGGTGTAAATGTCTGATTCCTGCAAATACCGCATACAGTTACAGCAGTGACCAAAAGGGAGAACTCAAACCTCTCAAGCACAGCTTCACTTATGTGAACTGGGGATAAACAAACAGCACCCATAATGATTAGTTGTGTCCTGTTTCTGTAGATTTCCTTTTCAACAGTGGTAACAAAGTTTACAAGAAAATTCCTACCTTGACAAAAATAAGCCACAATAATTTTCTGAGTGGAGACTTTTTGATACTCCATGCCACCCATGAATCATTCTCCTCTTCAACAGAAAATACTGATACAAACATTTGAAACAGTAGCCATTGCTAAATACTTTTAAAATCCCTTTGAAGTGCTTGGATTTGAGAGAAATTGTTGCCATGCCTTAAGTAATAAAACCAAAAAATTGATGAGATGCTGCTTAACACTACCTGGTATCTACAAATGCTTTTGTGAGCAAATCTTGTCCTGCCTAGTAACAGTTGCTAGGTATGAGGTTGGTTTAAGGCTGTAAGAGGTCAGTTAATAAATCCTCTTCCATCATCAGTCCACATTATGTTATTGAGCTCCTCACCACTTGTGCTTAACCTGCAGGCAAATGTTTTAGACATCATCCTAATGGTGAATGATTTTATCTTTTAACTGGACTGCATGTTTTCTGTAACAGTAAGCATTTGTCTGCAAGGATTAGGGCAGTTTGGACATTTTAGTAACTACCTGGAATATTTTATACAACCATGATTAGGAATCCAGATTTGAGCTCCTTTGTTTGTTGTGCTGTATGCTCAAAAATAATACCACCACCACCTACACCTGCTACTTTTGAACGAATTCGGGAATATAAGCCTTACAAAACACGGTATTACACGCATCGGGATATATTAGGTAAGTTGGTTTCCTGAATGCTTCATTTGTAATTCTCCAGTTGGGGATATCCAAAATGCTTATACATGCCTCTATTCTTGACTTTCACATCTTATTCCAATGGCCTTTCCTGGTTGGTCAGAGATAGATACGTGTACTTATTCATGAATATGTACAAATACTACAGATCAAATAATTATTCTTCTCAAATTATTAAAGATTTGCTCACAATGAAGCAAAAAAAGAGAGCTAGGTATGAGCATATTTAAAAATAGTTGTAAGTAAGGCTTAAAAGGATTGAGAAGAACTGGGCTTGACAAAGATTTTTTTAAAACTCTTTAGTAAGGCAAAGTTACAATACAAAACTGAAGTCATTTCCTGTTTCAGGATCTGGGCCTTAGTTTGTCACTCTACAAGGGTTCAGTACAAAGTCCACAGGAATTTCTCCCTTGACATCAATAGACTTTAGATCAAGCCCTAAAAAGACAAGAGAGAAATAGAAATCATGCTAGAGAAAACTGTGTAATGACTGTAGCCACAACAACGTTACAACTTTGCTGGGTACAACTCTTCAAAAAACAGTTAAACACTTTACTACCAGAACTGTGTACAGGGCCTAAACAAGCCCCTGAAACAACAGTTCCTGACAGGACTCTGGCATACTTATACAGTAAAAGCTGTGTTATCTGGCACTTTACCAGCTGGAAAGCTCTAGAAACCAGCATTTCTGATATCTCCCAATACAAGTCTTCAATCTAGTAACTGGGACCGATGCCGAAGCTATTCGGGACCCAAGTATTTCTAAGAGCAGTCGGACTATGCTCGAGTTAGCCAAGAAGAGCCAAATGCTGTTCTTTCTGTTTGTATCCACCATTGTGATTGGTTGGTTTATTACTCAGGGTATAGTCCTGTGTTTATTGCAAAATATCAATGCCACCCTACCATTATGGTATCCAAAATACCAGCGAAAAGCAAAGGAGAGAAGCGTAAGACAGTTGTGTTGACATTAAAATAGAAAATAGATATTTGAACATGTCTTGAAAAGGGCAAGAACAGGAATGTTTTGATACAAGAGTACAATTTTGACTTGTCCATGATATACGACATCAAGGCTCAGAAAGGACAATTGCTCAAATTTTTGCTAGTTGTGAGTCAAATAAAGCTGTTGAACAACTCTATACTCTGCATACACCTAAATTAGAGCAGCTAGACAGTGTTTTATATGAATGGTTTTCATTGAAACTATGGGAGGTGCTCCTATCTCCGGCCCAATGCTCGTTGAAAGGCAAAAGATTTTTATAAGCAAATGCAATTAATTGAGCCATGTGCATTTTCTGAAGGATGGCGTTTGTGTTTTAAACTTCATCACGGTATTAGAAAGCTAGATGTATCCGGTGAACAAAAATCAGCTGACCATGAAGTGCAGAAAAATATTGTGAATTTTTTAGAAATTTAATTGCTGAACATGATCTATCCCCTGAACAAATTTATAATGCTGAAGAAACTGGCCTATTTTGGCGATATTTGCCAAATTCTACCCTAGCAGGTGCAAGCGAATTTAGTGCTGCTGTTTTTTAGCACAATAAAGACAGACTAACCCTTCTTACATGTGCTAATGCTGCAGGCTCGCATAGAATAAAACTTTTGGTGATTGGAAAATATAATCGTCCTAGAGCTTTCAAAGGTGTTGCACATTTACTTGTTGTTTACAAAGTACAAGGTAATTCATGGATGGACAAAGAATTTTTTAATGATTGGTTTCATCATATTTTTGTACCTGCAGTGAAAGAACATTTTAGAAAAATAGGTTTACCTGAAGATAGCAAAGCTATTCTATTGCTCGACAATTGTAGAACTCACCCACAAGAAACGGAGTTAGCGTCTGGTAATATTTTTACCATCTTCCTGCCTGCTAACGTTACTGCATTGATTTAACCTATGGACCAGGGCATTATCCAGAATATGAAATGTTATTACAGAGATTTCCTGAGAAAGCTGATCAATCCTGAAGGCACTATACAGGACTTTCAATCTCGTTATAACATAAAAGATGCAATTTTTAATGTTGCTTGTGCCTGGAATTCTGTTAAAAGTGAAACATTAAAGAGCTTAGATAAAATTGTGGTCTAGTGTTATGTTTGCAGAAGTGTCTTTTGATGAAGATGAATTTGAAGGCTTTAAAGTAAAAGTTAGAAAAAATACATTAGCACAAATTCTTGAAATGGTGAAGGATACTCCTTCTTCACACCCAATCAACAAACTTCATGTATGTGAGATAGAAGACTGGGTTGAAGGTGACACTCATAAAGACACTGATAAAGACAGTGAAGACACTCATAAAGACAGTGAAAAAGATTTTAGTGAAGAGGAAAAAATAACTTGGGGAAAGGCTGCTTCAGCTTTTGTTACAATAATTAAATTTGCAGAAAGGCAGCCATGTTATACAGATGCTCCCCGACTTACGCAAGCATTCTGTTCCAGAACGCCTTGTGTAACTTGAATTTTGCGTAAGTTGGAAACATATACCCGACCATTACTCAAAAAACCCAAAACAAAAAAACCCCTCCTATTTCTAGCTTACGGAACTCTTTCCGTAAGTGCGGATTTGCGTAAGTCAGGTTTGCATATCCTGGGGTGGGGGGATCTATACTGCCCAGGAGGTTATGCAATGGCACATTCTGCATCTACTTTTATGCAAAAGAGGCTGAAGAAAATTAAACAAGCTGATATCAGAGATTTATTCAAAAAAGCAGCTTCCAGGGTGTGTCATAGGGTCAGTACAGATTCAGTCCAATCTCCTACATCTTTTACATCTACAATGATAATTGATGTTGATAATGATGAGCCTGAGGCACTGCAAGGTCCTGAAATGCCTTCTGAATCATCAAAGAAAGATTAAATTATGTTCAGTATAGTTTTAGTGTTAAGTGTATTTTTAGTGATCTGGGTGTACGCCATGCTCTGCCCATAGTGATATGTAGTGCCATAAGGTAACCTACTGTATAGAAAACTTTACGTGTATACACCTAAGTGCTTCAAGAAACCAACCACTCTGCACTGCAGTACTACTATTGGATTGGTGAGTACCTGTATACTATTTTATACTTTATTCATTTTATTATATTTTAACTATTTGAAAATTGGTATTCCATTGGTAAGTATAACTCTTAGTTAACCTGAAATTTTGACTAACAGCAGCCCCCATTTTCCCAACATGCTGGATAACAAAGCTTTTACTGTATAAACTATCTCTAGTCATACCCAGATTTTCTATTATACTGCAATTATAACTTAAAAATTGAAAGAAAATGTATGGTAGTATTAGTATGTTAATAGCAAGAGTCTGAGGTAAATCAATAAAGTAAGAATTTCTATACCTAACTATTGCAGGGATCTTTGATCAGTGATATTAGTATGGTGAGTCACACTGCCTATGTTCGATAATGTAAGTCACCAAAGAGGTTTCAGTCATTATTCAATAGCTTGTAGAGCCTGGGATAGCTGCTTTTCAAAATACATTTGAAGCATCAACAGTGTGCTCAGGGCTGTAGAAGACCCAGAAGCAGGGCCGGTCCACAACATTTTGGCACCAGAGACGGGGAGCTCAAATGACGCCCCCATGCCCCCTCATTTGGGCCAAAACCTTGAAATATTTCAATTCTGCCTTCTTCCTGTCCTACTCCTCTCATGGTACTGCTCTGCTACCTATCCCAATAAAGGAGAACTAACAACTTAAAATGCCTTGTTCAAAAATTTTAAGTAACACTTAACTTTCGAACGCCTGAACAGCAAATGTAACTTTTCTTGTCTGCAAAGTAAACACTGGCATTTTTATCTGTTTGAATAATCGAATTGGTGCTTTCTGTGCTTTCTTGGTTGCAAAGATTTGAACTGCTTCCTGAAGGTCCACAGTCTGGGCCAGCTCATGCTCTATTGAGATGGTTGCAAGGCCAACCAGCCTCTCCTGTGTCATTGTGGAGTGTAAGTGTATTTTTATTAACTTCAGCTTGGAGAAGCTGCTTTCTCCACTGGCAGCTGTTACAGGAAGTGTTAGAAGTATGCGCAGAGCAACAAAAGCATTTGGAAAGAGGGTGGTCATCTTATTTGTGCACATGTATTCCAGAACAGCCTTTGGAGTTGATCCTGCTGACATGTATCTTGAAAGGGCTTTCAGTTCATCACCTAAATCATTTGCATCAATATCGCGCATGTCATCATGTGTCAACACTGTCTCTAGTGCCCTGCATTGCTGGAGTAGGTCTTCTTCAGGTATAGTGAGGAGTTTTGGAATATCATACAACATCCCAAACATACTGCTGTGTTCCTTGAGCTGCAAGAAACGTTCTTCAACTGACTGTATTGCACAATCTAGCACCTGGTTAAAGAATTCAACTTTGAATGGTTGTTTGGGGTCTCTTATGGGATTATCCCATGCCTCATAATCAAAATGTCTTCTTCTTCGGTGACTCTTGTATTCTTGAATGGGTGGGAAAATAGCTTCAGTGTGAAGTTTCTCTGCCAACTTCTGTGCACTCTTCAGAACGTTTTGAAATCCCTCATCTGACCAGTAAGACTGTAGGTATGACTTTGCTTTGTCCAGTTGTTCCATTGCTCCAGATATATCAAGGTCAACACCTTGGAGTCTCTTGCTTACAATATTTATTTCAAACAGTATGTCATGCCACAACACTAAGCCACACCGAAATTTGAAGTTATGTAAGTTTCTGGTGATTCCATGTCCCTCTGCCACTGTTCTCCTACGAACAGTTCCTGTCATAGCATTATCCTCCATAATGGCAACTATGGTATCATCTATCTTCCCAATTTGGTGCTTGATAGGCTTTATCGCCTCCACTCAACTTTCCCATCGTGTGGCACTCAGTAGTTTCAGTGTCAGAGAGGATGTTCCCAGATGTTGCTTCAAAATTTGCCATCGATGAGTTGATGCAGAGAAAAATACATAGATGCTTTGAATTACATTAAAAAATTCAGCAGCCTCACTAGAAGCTGATGCTGCATCACTGACCACCAAGTTCAATGAATGAGAACTGCATGGGACAAAAAAAGCTTGAGGGTTTAACTCTCGAATCCGTGTCTGCACTCCTCTGTTCTTTCCTCTTATGTTGGCACCATTATCGTAGTCCTGACCTCTCATGTCAGCTATCGCAATTCCCGCATCTTCCAGCTTTTTAAGAAGCACATTTGTCATACCAGCTCCTGTAGTATCATCAATGTCAATAAACTCTAGAAAATGCTCTCTGACTGTCACTATTGCAGGGACATTTTCACTAGGTTCTGTTGTTGTTACCAAACTCACCATTAAAGTCATTTGTTCCATATGGCTGATGTCAGGTGTGCAGTCCAGAATAACAGACTTCAGATCTGCCACAATCTTCTGTTTGACTTTTGTTGCCAGTAACTGTATGATCTCATTTTGAATTGTTTTTCCAAGGTAGTGGTGTGTGTACATTTCTTGGGCGGCAGCTAAAACCC